CTTTTACTTTTAGTCGTTTGTTTTCTTTGTTAAAGGTAAAAAATATCCCCATATTCTGCTTTCTCTTTTTTTTAACCGCCACTACTATTAAGTCGTTTTTCATTACGGTGACACTCATTGTCTCAATCTAAGGTCTGTCTTTTAAAGGGTTTCAAGGGTTTTAGAGCTTTGAATCGAATAGTTGCTCTTGGCTCTCCCTCATATTTATTCCACTTTTGACTCGCATTTTTGTAGGCGTTCTCGTAACCGTGAGACCAGGGAACTCTCCAGCCTTGCTGCCCAATTACTTTCAATGATAGGTGCCTCACTGCCGTTATTAGAAAACCTCGGGAGCCTGACATACAGCCCGAACACTGCTGTCCAGGGCAAACCAGGCTTCGCTATTTTACCGACGGGTATCACAGGCCAGTTGGCTACTCGCCACCTGCGTTCGAGCTTGGTTTTTGCCCGCCGGCATGCGAGTCCACCCCAGGCGCCTATGTTTCCGCACAATCTGGCTGATCCTGCACCTTCGGGGCCGCCACTGCCACTTCAGATTGATGGCGACAGAGTCCTTTCTGATGTATCTTCTTCGAGTATCGAGACGACTCGCTTCCACTCGATTAGCCGGCCCGGCAGAGGAGATTTTGCGTCTGGAGCGGTTGTGCAGACCAGTGGGGAGACAGAGCACAGTCAAAGGATCGTGAGCACCAGCATCAGCCTGTATGAGACAAACCTAAAGGCCAGCCGACTTGTAAGCGAACTTATTTGTTAAAATTAAGAAGCCATTAGTGCACTGTAAAGACAGCTTAATTGCAAAGTCAGCCATAATAGGCAAAAATAATAACTCTTTCATTTGAAAAATTGCATTTCTAACTTCAGCTTTGTTAACTTTTGATACCATCGGTTTCAAAATTGTGATATAGGGGAGGTCTAGGTTGCCTTGACGGTCGCGCTTGCCTTATTATCAACTGGTATGCGTGATGTGTGGCCTAGTGGTAATATATCGACAATAAGAGCACTGCATTACTTGGATTGGATTTCCTTTATGATTGGTGATGAAAGCCGGGACGAGATCGAACCTGTAGGTAGGAATGAATGAGGGATAAGGCCAAATGAATTTGACTGGTATCTTGAGGCATAATTTTAACGTCGTCGATACATTAAACTATATTAGCCTTTTCCCTTTATTTAACTCCTTATCTTGTCTTATTTCCTCTTTTTTTCTATTATCTTCTCTTCTATACCATTAAGTCCTATATATTATTATTTTGGCTCATTTTAACTATTGTTTTATATTCGCTCCTCCTATCTACTCTAATCTTACTTGTTGTTACCTTATTTTGTATTACTTATCTTATTTTACTTTACTTTATATTTTTTATTTGAGTCTAGCCCCATACGAATGTTTAGCTATGATGCACTCTCGCTACTCTAAATATATTCAAGTAGCACTTAATTTGTATAATAGCAAAATTTCGTGTAATAAGGCTGAATGAGATTATAACCATAACACTCCATTACCCTTAGGCGCGCCGCGTATTCGTATCTGTAGCAGTCGCCCTGCTGCTTCTGCCCTCGGACTCTTTCGAAGCCTCCAGAGACATAGCGACGGCCGAAGAGACGGTTTGTCGCGATATGGCCACAGCCGGACTGCCTCGGGACCAGGACCGGAGTCATTCGGCTTTGGTTGATTTCATCGAGGCTGAACTGCGCCAGCTTGACGAAGCACTTGCGCACCGGCTGCGTACCAAAGTGAATAGTGTTGTGATTGCCTCTCAGTGGTTGGTATCTGCTCTGCATACCTCCGGTCAGCCGACGCTTTGTCCCACGCCCTCGGCCTCCCTCTCCGGCGGTACTGTCAGGACCATCACCGCTAAATTCAATGATCAAGACAGTTTTTTCACTGCCAGTCTGTTGGCAAACGGCTCCTCTTCTCAATCGCCCCAGTGCATTGACCTGATCGGAGCCTGCCCTCCTCCGCGGCCACCTCCGCGTGGCTACACGTCGGTCTCTTCTATTCACCGTCCTCCCCAGGAGCACCCGGCGCCCGGCTCCGGTGAACCTACAGTCGGACGACGGATTTCGCCACCGGTTCCTCCGCTTCCGCCTCCACGACGTCCCGCTCTTCTGGGACAACTGGCCACAGCCACCGCGGCACAGCCGCTTCATGCAGACTCCTGTCCTGCTCGCAGTTCGCCCGACACCCGGACCTCTCGAAGTTGCCAACGGGCTGACCGTCCGGAAGACACGCCTCTACTAACCGATCGCACAATCACGATGCGAGCTATTCAGGCTCCTCTTGAAAGCGACGAAAAAGGGCAACTGGACTCGTTCGCCAAGGCTAACCCGGCCTCTTCCGATGCTCCTCTTCCAGTCATGGCCTGCCACTCGGCCCCTGGTCTTGGCCTGCAGACCAACTGTTTTGTACGCATTGCTCTCGAGCCAGCCTACGATCACGTTGCTCTTTCGGAGCATGGACCATACGCTAGCGAGAGCGAGACAGAGGGGGAAGAAGAAGAGGAAGAGGAAGAGGAAGAGGAAGATGAGGAAGAGGAAGAGGAAGAGGAAGAGGAAGAGGAAGAGGAAGAGGTGGAGAAAGAGGAAATAAAAATGGATGAAGGCAGCAACTGGAGCTCTGGAGAGAGGAGAAGAATAGCCGGAGAAGGGTTCGAAGTGGAAGCGCAGCCTGGCCGTACCCTCAAAATGGCTGCCAATCAAGCGGCCACAGTCGTCGCACACACCCTCGATCCTCCTTACAGTGAGGTCACGGACCACCCCGCGGCGGCGTACCTGCGTCGTGTGCTCCAACGCGGCTCCGCCTGCGCCCCGTTGGCTGAGGCCGACGATCCGCCGCTCCGGATCCCGGGCCTCGACTGCTCTCTCGAACGGTTGAAGCGCGAGGGCCGGCTTCCGTCGTCCGACGAGTACCGCGAGGGCACTGACTGGCTGGCCGGGCCGGTGTTGGGCCGAGGCGCGTTTGCCAACTGCCTACAGGCCCGGGACACACGAACGGGCAGCTTGATGGCCGTGAAGCGGATCCGCCTGGGTCACGGCTCCATCGAGTCGGTACCCCCGCCATCTTTGCCGCACTCACATCAGCAGCACTTTGGCGGGGCCGCCCAGCCAAGAAGTAAGCACAAGCTTATGCGTGTAAGGAAAGAGCTGCCTCCGAACACACTTCCGTGAGGTGCCCTCACAAATGAGGAGATATATGAGTTGTGTTTACCCTATTTCGTTTAAGATGATGAGAGACTGGTAGTTGA